GGCGGGCAGCGGCATGGCAAACGGTGCCCCCGGGCCAGGCCGCCGGAGCCGGAGAAGGCCGAGGCCTGCGGTGGGTTAGCTGAACCCCGACCGCGGTGGCATGGCTGCGGGCACTTCAGGAGCCCGGGGGTGCAGGCCTGCCGTTGTTTTCCCTGGATTGAGGATTTCCCAACAGGGGTGTGTGGCCGTGATGGTAAGGCATGGTAGAAAACATAATTGTTATTCAATAACTCTTTTTAAATACTAGAGCGGCCTTCCAGTACCTCTCTGAAGACGAGGATTGTGCTGAATAATCTTCCATGAGTTAGTAACTGTATTCTTGCTTTGTAGTACCTGTGACTACGCTAACTTTCAGGACTGTGAAATTATGAAATAAATTATTACTCTTCTCTGTTTAAAAAATGTAACTCATTATAACATCTCACACCTCACCTTGAAGTCAGACTGAAAGCACAAGCACCTCAGTGGTCTGTGAGTTTCTACACAAGGCCTAGTATAAAGAAATGTATTTGACTGGTATGGCTCTAATGTATCAAAAAAGTTGAAATGGCATTACTATGTTGTCTTAAATGTTGTAGTGTGCAGTAGTGTAGCTGATGTATTCCTGAGCTCCTGTGTAGGGTGGTCCTGTGAAGCACTTTCAGTGTTCTCATTAAGTTTTGCAATGCTAGAAATTCTGCATTTGATTTCTATTTATTTGTGTAACCGTGACATGGAGAGAAGCAGTAAATACATTTAAGACGACCAACCATTTAAAAATGTATGTGTTTTGCATTGTAGAGGAGCAAGCGGTGCTTTCATTGACAGCTCCATGATCTAATACATTTAATAGAAAGTAACTGTTTGTAAAACAACTCATTATCTTGTTTCCCCAAGACATTTTGGTCTTGTATGTAAAAAGTGTAAAGCTTTAAGTTTATGAAGTCCATTTATAAAGAGTCCAGTTAGTTCTTAGTCACCTCTTTACTGTGATAACTTTCCTTTACCTTAAAATCCTACTAAATGGAGAACAAATGCAGTATTTCAGCTCATAAAGGTAACAGGCTGGAAGTGAGCCTTGGGAGACAGGCTTCTCACCTTGCTCTGGAATACTTTTTCTGCAATCTTCTTCTAGAAATATGATGCTATGAACATAATCATAATAACAATAAAAGTACAATTTTGTTTGAATTTAAAGTTACCTGCTGTTTTTCTGGGAGATACCTGAAGCCTTTCTTACTGTAATTAAATACGACTCAAGATTTTTCCTGTCCTGGAGAAGACACATTTTAGTCTGAAACTTTTCAGCTGCAGCATCAGACTTAGTTTCTGGTTTAATTCGAATGTGGTATCTACATGGGGCTTAACGACTGTGGGGTTTAAAGTCCTTTCTCCAAAGTAGTGGCTGGAAGCCAAAGCAGCATACTGCTCACCGAGACAGATGCGTGGGAGGACAGGCACAGAAGGTCTGGAGAAGAGAAGTACAAACCAGCAGCTCTGGCTGTGTAAGTCCTGGAAGTGTTCAAATACTGAACTATTTTCGTCAAGGAGAGCAGGCAGCTAGTGCCAGATCAGAGCAATGACAAATGAAACCAGATGCTTTCCTTGCCTCGCTGATGGATTGGAGCACTCCCTGACGGTAGTGGAAGCCATCTGCTCCCCGTGTCAAGCGTCAGTAAAGTCCTCATTAGAAATTCTGTCAGAAACTTAGGCCTCCAGTCAGCACAGCATGCTTAGCTTAGGACTTGGAATTTTCATTGATAAAGGTGCTCTTTCTGTATTAGGACACTGCCTTAGTGATTTCCCCTCTGCTTAATTCCAGCTTTTTCCATTCGTAGATGGACTGTGTACTACATCATCATTTATCTTAATATCATTTCTCTGCAAAATTTGGATAAACTTTGGCCTATCAGAAAGGGACATTGGCTGAAACTGAGCTCTTACACTGCATTATAAATAAGGAATAGTGAAACTGGAGACATTTCAATCTTAATTCCTTTTAAGATTAAAAAGATTTAAGTCAACTCACCTGATACGGTATGGAAACACGTAAGTTGTAAAAAAAATTAGAAAATTAGTAAGAATTATAATAAGTATTATGCCCACATTTCACTTGTGACAGTCTAAAGGTACTTCAGAATCTTAGCTGTAGGTGTAAATATATATGCTGAACTTACTCCAATTTTGCATCTGCTTTCAGATTTTGAATATATTTCAGATTTTGAATATAGTGCTACGAACTGAAGAAACTTGAAAAAAAGATTTTAAAGTACTGAATTGCAGTAACTTCTTGGTCTCAAAAATCAAGTATCTTGTGTTGATTACAGGGGGAAGCATGGTACCATAGATGTACTGTAATTTTTCTCTTTAATACCTATGGGCTGGAATAAAAGTTATATGCCAGTCATGATGCTGTAATACAGTGTGATACAGCCTTGAATACTTGTACCCAGGAGTATGAATTTCAGTTCAGGGAGGCCAATCTGATTAGCATTTCCAGTGCTCATTTCAAAATACTGATTTTTACTGAGGTTGCTCTAGTATAATAATTAATGAATTACTGTCAGTCTCATTTCCATTTTGTGAGCTAACAAATACCCCTTCACAACTATGGTACACACAGTCAGAGCAGTTTTGTTTTCCCTCTAATCTGGCTTTTCAGTCATAGATTAAAGCAAAAGGAAAATTGAAGAACAACATTGTCTTCTAAGCAATTCCTGAGAGCATAGCAAGTATAGAAGTTTTGTTAAGCTGTCAGTTTAAATATTTACCTGCACTGGAAATACAATTTTTTCTAAGGCAACAATCTTCTGCTCAAAATTTATGGAAATACCTAATGTGACAGTTGAATTACTGTATTTTCCATCTTTTAATTTGTCTCAGGAGTCCAGAATTAAAAAAGATTTACTTTCAGTTTGATTCTGGGCAGTACTGGTTGTTGGTACTGTTGTAAGCAGGCTTTTTATTCCTTTTTTGGTTATACAGGTGAAACTTCTTTCTGCAACTCCTGGGAAAATTGTTTGTGAAATGAAAGTAGAGGAGGAGCATACGAACAGAGGTGGCACGTTACATGGAGGTTTGACAGCCACACTTGTGGATGTGGTGTCAACAGCAGCGTTGCTGTACACAGAAAGAGCACTGCCTGGGGTCAGTGTGGACATGAACATCACGTAGGTATCATCCACTATGTTTACCAGAACATACTGACTTTTCTTCCCCTAACACGGTATTGACTCCATTGTATGTCATTTCTATGCTGTAGTACTTTAAAAAGCTGTTTTCTTTGGTTTGAGAAGTCTTGTTTTGATAAATTAAGGGGGGATTGTATTTGGGGATATTGCCATTTGGTTGCAAAATTCGAGTTGGACTTCCTTAAGCTTTTATTTGTTACATGCGTTTAAGAGATGGTACCTGTTCATTCATAGAATGTCAAGGGATGTTGATAACGTGGTAAATTTTAGTCTTATGAAATTGGCTCAACTTCTGTCTTTGCTTGTGAAAGTATGTTAGAGTGTGTCCTCAAACACCAAAATCTAGGGTAAGCAGTTTTCTATAAACCCTTTTTTAGCATTAGTCCATAAAATGTTAAAACAGGAAAAATACTAAAACAGGAAACTGTTTAACTCTGTTGTATGCTCACATAGAGGGTGAATTACAGATTGAATCAGAATTTCTCGCTGGAGGAAGATTCCTTTGCTCTAGGTCACCTAAAGGTAGTTTTATATTGAGAATAGTTCTTCCTGTAATGCAAATTTAAAGCACACTGTCTTTTTAAAAAAAAAAAAAAAAAAAAAAGTTGTTCTAAAACCTCCTTTGATCATGCTATTATAGCTTGTCGGCTTTGCTTCATTACTTTTAATGAAGAGATTATGACTGATTGGAACTAAAGTAATCCTACTTGGAATAACTAACACAGAGCATTAAAAATCTTGGAAAAGTAACCCCTCATCAAAACTGTCTTTAAAAAAAAAAAGCTTTAAAAGTGTGTGGGGAGTGATCTGTATCTTTACCAGGTTCCCTCCTTTCCCCCCCAGCACCCTCTAATTTCTCCACTGGGTGGGTGGGACTGGAGCATCTATTTAAGCTTTATACTGCCACTGTGATGACCAGGAAATTATTGGAAATGAAAACCTCAAATTCCTCTGCGATTATGTTTTTCTCCCTACAGTAGTATAACAAGAGGCCAACATCTGAATTATTTACACTATCAAGTATGCCTACCCAATTACATTAGGGCTAAAATCTTAAGAAAGTGCTCTCTCTGGAGGTGATCCAAAATGATTGAGTAGAATAACCTTCAGGAAATATTATCTGAAGCAATATTAATAGCTTTGTTTAACCCAGACTACTGCTTTCATTGAACAAGTGATATTGGATATCGAATATTGCTATAATACAACTTTCTCCTTTTTGGGAAGGAGCTTTTTAAAGGGTTGTCACGAGGAAGCTATTTCAGTAATGGAAAGAACAGAGAGAAAGAGAGAAACTTTTTTTTTTTTTTTTTAATCACAAGAGGATCAGCAGCAGCCTCTGAGAATGAACCAAGACTGAAACCCTGCCCCTGTCAACTAATGGGGCTTGTGCTACATCAGTATTAGGCGTGACTGACATACTTTTGACATGGTGTCATGTATGAAAATGGACTGGTTGATGAAATTTCTCTCAATAAGATTTATATCCAGCAATTATACATTCTCCTCTAACTCTAACATTTGAATATTGTTCCCTTACCTCAGATCATGGTTGCATCATATTCCTCCTAATTCTCTCCAGGTGTTTTGTGGGGGAATTTATTCCTATTCCCTGCAGAGTGTGTTTGAAAAGCACACCCTCCTACTCATGTAAATAAAACCAGAGAGTTATCTAATGAACGGAAACAGCGTTAAACCTGGGAAATTTGAAGGCCTCCCAGATTTCCGTGACTTTTCTCTGGCCAGGATATGGGAAGCAATTAACCTATGCTTAGGTTCCATACAGAAATGACCTTCTGGAGCCTTTGTTACAGAGGCATTTTGCAGCTGAACCAGCCAGACTGGTTTAGAAAGGCTGTAGGGAGTCAGCAGTGCCTGGAATAGGACTTGGAGCTGAACTTTTAACTGAGGTCTTTGATACCTAACTGTTTCTGTTCCAAAATGACTTTTGATTCTGACTTTTCCTCAGAATCAAGCCAATGGGTTTCTTTCTATCCTCCATTTTCTCAGAGAACTCTTATACTGAATTACCACTGCAGTACTTAGAGGAACTCAAGGACTTTAAGAAGTGGGGATTTGCAAGCAGGCAGTTCAAGAGACATGTCTTTATTACTCACTTTTGCTAATTCCCTTCATGATAATCTAAAATGCAGGAATATCCTTGGATTTGTGCTCTGTACAGCCTCTTACCTGTTCATTTTGTTCTTCATTGAAGATACACGTCTGCTGCTAAGATTGGAGAAGAGATACTGATTACAGCTCAGATTTTGAAGCAAGGAAGAAATCTTGCATTTGCCAGCGTGGATTTAACAAATAAGGAGACAGGAAAGTTAATTGCACAAGGTAGACATACAAAGTATCTAGGAAATTAATATAAGAAAGTAATTTAAAAAATAATAATGTGGGCTTAAGAATCCCATATAGAATTATTTTCTCGTTTTGCAATAAGACGTCATCTGCACAAAGTTGTGATAGTCCATATACACTGAATTTGTCTCACTCCCATAATAAACAAACAAATTTCTTAATTACCACCAGAATTGCTACAAGCCTAAAATTAGTGCCTATTTTGGGATGAACAACAGAGTGTGATAGCATGGGGATGCATCTGGCTTTTTTTGGTCGAGACAGCAGAAGGGAAGAGCCTTTGGACCAGCCATATGGTTTACCAGCATGACAGTGTTTTAAGAGATCTCTGTTCTCTTTGCCTGTGGTGTCGTCGTGTGACAAAGCAACCGTGTCTTCAGGCCCGTCACAATCACATTCAAACAACACTACATATGCTTACAAACTAAACTACTTGGTCTGTAAGATGGTAGTACAGAGTTCCTATAACACGGTATGAAACTGGTTTGTAAGGCAGGCTAATACAAAATGTAATTTACTGATGCTGTTAACAAATTCAAAAGTATTCAATAAAGCTTTCTGAAACTACCTTTTTAAAGCTTATTTAATAGTTTTGTAATCTCTTTGCACTGAGTAAAAGCTTGCCAGCATGGAGTGGTTGAGAGGGTCTGTTGGAACCCTTGTACACAAATTCACCTAAGATTTCATCATCATCTCCCTGTGATTCCTGAATGTGAAAATGCAGTTACATCATCAGGGCTTTTCACTTGTACCTACCTGAAGTTCTGGCTGTATTTGTTTAAAAATCATCAGCTGAGAGTTAGAGATGTATCTAAATAAATTTGGTGAGCCTTTCATCAGGCTAAGGCTGTAGATTGTCTGACTTGGGTTGAATGTGGTAGAGTTAAGCTGCAGTTCATCAGCTGGAGACTTGTCTCCTCATGCACTGTTGTGGACAGGTTTAACTGCTTTCGTCAAACTGATGACAAACAATCCCTGGCAAGGTTATCACACTGTAAACAGCGATGCTACATATGCAGCGCAAGTTTACTTAAACCATGACATTACGTTTTCTTCTGTAGTGGGAGATTTGAAAAAGTTAATCTACACTAACAAAGGGCATGTGGAATTCTTTTTGTCGTGGAAGTTGACTTACTGTCTTCAGTGATTTGAATTTTGTGATTAAATGTGCAGTTAGGGCTTTTTTTGTGCATTCCTAAACCTAAAGAAATAATTTCCATTGAGTTAAGTGACCTGTTCTTGCAGACTGATTTTCAATATGAAGTTGAACAAGTTTACTAATATATCAGCATCTTTCCAAAATGACTTTCAAACAAGTGATATAGCTGATAACTTACCCTTCAATGGAAGTTCTCTAAAAAAGTACCTACAGTGGGCTCAGGGTATCAGCATGTATTTTTGCTGCAAGTTTAGAACAGTTGTTTGTGGTATATACATTCTCAACAAAAGCTTTTTCTCTGAGGCTATCTCAGAAGCGTACGTGGCTTACATGCCTGTGGCTAGTTGAACTTTTAATAGTAGCATCCCCTCTTCAGCAGTACATTCGTCATTTTTTTTTCCCCAATACTTGCACTCATGCTCAGAATCATCCCTGAATCCCAGAAGCAGCACAATGCTTTGCTAAAGCAGTTCTGTGAAGATACTTACTCCAGGAACAACCTTTTTTGTTTTAAATCTTTGCTCAGCAGAACTATACGCTTCACTGTATTAAATTGTTTCTCACTTTACAGCTGCTTCTGCCTGGAGCCCTCTTATGAGTCTTAAGCATCTCCAGCTCCTCTACAATTACTAGGATGAGCAGGCAGAGAGGATCCATCATAGCACAGGGACACACCTAGTGGGTTTAGCAATTGCTGTTCTGGTTGTCTCCCTGTTAACATGTTCGGGCATCTCCAATCATCTTTTTTCTCATTCTTAAGTTTACCGGTTTTCTTCCATAGGTTACCCATATAGTAGAGTGCAAGAAGTGAAACAGAAGTGAGGATTAAGACTGCTCCCCCAGCTACTATAAACCCACCCCCCTCACTGGAACACAAGAGTGATTTGACTATTATCTGAAATAAAAGGCAGAGGGTGAGAATGAAGGAGGTGCCGGATTCAATACATGCCACAAGATTCAGAACGCTCTCAGCTCTGTGTGCTGGGGCAACCCTGTCCTTGTGTAACTGTCCCACTGCAACTTAACGTGACTTCCCTCAATGAAAGCTGGCTGCCTCAGGAACCTACCACAGCTAAGTGGTCTCATTCTATCACTTAGCATTCATCATATCTACATAATTACAATTGAAAAGTGTCCAGGCAAATTAAGAGTGGCAAACCTCAACATGGCAACAACAGTGTCCTCCTGTTCCCATTCGAGCCTGGCAAGGACTGTTGCAGGCTAGGAGAGAAACATTAAAAATACCCTTCCTGAAGTAACAAGTGAATTCTCTTCTGCCTTATAACAGACTATTCAACACAGTATTTTAAGTGCTGCCTAATTAATAAGAAAGAGGGACATCATTAATATGCAGGCCAGTTATTTTAGTAGTTCATTAAACTGATTATTTTAAGACAACCTTGTCTGTTATCCTTCCGCCAGCAGCAGCATGTTGACCTCATAATTTATTTCACAACTTAACTTAGGCTTGGAGATAATCTTAGAAGGAATTGTCACCATTGAGCTTGCTTAGCTTTGGGAGTAAACTGTCAAACATCGGACTTAATATTTGGATGTGTTCTTTGCTGATTTCACCCTAACCTACATGTTGAAAAATCTGTATCTTACCTTACCTGAGTCTCAAAGGAAGTAATGGAAAATAATTACTGCAATAAGGACAAATGGTACATGGTTCCACCTGGCATCAGAACAAGCAGAACTCCTGTGGGGTTGACCTGGTTCCATCACCGCAGATTTAGGCATAATTCCCTTACAAGTAAGAAAATAAAGTGACTCGATGAGATCATCTTGTGAGTCTTACTAGTATACCAGATTACATATCCAATAATTGACAGACATCTGTAAGCTCCGTATTTTACAGCTGCAAATGAGATTGTCCCTCCCATATTGTGCTGTTTGTTTTTTTTTTCCCCTAATCTTTTTCTGTTTTTCAAGCATACCAAACACCTACACCATACTCCTTGATGTCTAGAGGTCTGTCCTTATGGAGGGCCATGCTTCTCACATAGTGGTAGGTGACATGTGGAACAGTTTGTCTCTATCAGAGAAAGTAACTGCAGCTTCCCACTTCGCGCAATATATTGGTCCGCCAGGTGTTTCATGCTGGTTTCACATCGCTACTATTGCATGAGTGCATTCAGACTGACACCCAGGTACTCGCACCAGGGCAGAACTGTGCATTACAGACCCCTTGAGAAAATGAGGAATCAGAACAGAATCATTCCCACTGGCATTTGAAACCAAAAGCCCAGATACTAATCAGGGCAAATACCGATCACATATGAAGGTGCTGTGAGGAAGGATTTAGTCATTAAGGACTCCAGCCCTCAGGAAGAAGCAACTTGTCAGTGATAAACTGGGGAGAGGAGGGGGTAAGGAAGGATGTTACTGCTGGAACAAGCGTTAAACTACCAGGACTCCTTGTTAGTCTTTCAGGATGAGCCACCTGTCACAGGGGTCTCACAGCTGAGCTGCTTCACCTAAGTTAATCTGCCAATTTAATTATGAGCTAGTTGGTTTACATTTCTCAAATTGGCAAGCATTACCACCTAAGGGGGATGGGGGGAGCAGGGAGAATTAGGCTGTTAAGTAACTGTTCTGAACAGCAGTTCAATTCCGTTCAGCTTCATTGACTGGCTCCGAGCCACTGCCGGGGCATACGGAAGAATTTCAAACTGCGTTTTATCACTAACCATTTTAGAATTCTCTATCTGCAGAAACCATTTAGCCAGTAGAAAGAAACCCCAAAACCTCTCCCTTACCTCACTGTCCATGGGAATGAAGAAGAAAGCACTTTGTTTCCTATTTTCCTACTTAAGAGTTCAGGGACAACACGATGACAGTTATTACCTTTGTGATTCTGTAATGCATTCACTGAACGACTGCTGTTACTAGATCCCCGGTCCCAAGCTGCCACAGCTGTGGGACAGTGCAGCATACACAGTTGTTACCTAAACCAGAGCAAATTACCTGCAAACTCTAATCAAACAAGACACATTGGCTATCCTCCAGGAAAAAGAAAAAAAAAACAAACCCACAAACAACTTTTGTTCACCAAAACAGTACCTGGGGCTGTACCACTGTAGTAAGATTATGGATCTTTTGATTTCTTTTGCTTAAAAGCAGTAGCTGCTTGAATAGATTTAAGAGTCCAGAAAAAGCATCTTGTAGAGTGGGTGCTCTAGCATACAGTAATTGTGCTCAAATTAAGGGACCTTTCCATATGTAAATCCTTTCCAAGCAGAACTAGGTCATAGATATCTTCAGTCCTAAAAAGCATTTCAGTCAGCCATGCAGAAGAGAAATTATGCTTGCTTATCACTTAGCTTGCTTCAGTTAACCTGTAGAGCTGATGCACCCCTCCACAGCATCAGCGCTGTACAGTCAGCCTTCTGAACTCCCAGCTGCGGTGCACACATCAGAAAGCAGTACCTGCTGCTGTAGATGGAACTGCGGTTTCCTCCGTAGTGTTCCTGACAGCAGAGAGTTCATCTGTACTCCAAGAACACCACAACAAGGAAGACTTAAACACCAAACTAGTACAAAGCACCCAGCCCCTGCGCACTACAACAGGGGAAGAGCTGAGGTAACTTCCAGTTCTAGCGTAGAGGCTCTCTCTCTCTGAACCTTTTAACTCACAGTCATACTGAACTCCTGGAGCAAAGTGAAGTAGCCTAGCAGGTATGAAAGACACCTACAAGCTGAGGCATTGCTCTCACAACACCAGCATGGCATCAGGAAGTGCAGGTGCAAATGATGGCCAAACCTATACACAGAAATGTTCTTTTTGTGTGCTAGTAGTACCAAAGGACAATAATATTGGCCTTATGGTTTGGGAAAGAGTGGTTTATATGCAAAAATTACTAAAATAAGACAAAAGGAATTCTCGAATAAACACCACTCAGGCTAGCACTATGCCTCAAACATCCATGCAAAACTTTTTTCCCTTTTGTAAAACACTATTAAAACCCTTTATCTCATTACTTCATTTTAGAAAGCTGTTCCAGAATCTGTAGGTTTATACAGCTTCTGCATTTGCTGCTGCAATAAATGCAAAACTGAAAATGGGAGCTTTTCCAGGCTAATAAAAGAAAATAGCAATTAAGTAAACTCACACCACATGTCTATCTGCTTAGTGGATGTAAATGTAGTTTAGTAATTCTTGACTTTAACTATCATGCCAGTGGCAGGAACCTCAATGTAATCTTAAATGAAGCCTGTAACAGTCCATTAGAATAATCTCGC